CCATTTACCATTTACCATAATGACATTATCAGTGTAGGCTTCTTACTTTATATCAAATGAAATTAGAGAGGAGTTATCCAGAGGGGTGTATATGTATTATTTCTCAGTCTGGAACTGAACTGAACAACAAAGAGCAGAGCAGACCTCAGGTAGCCTCAGTTCTATTTCTAGTTAAAGGAAAATGCAGCTATTTTTACTCCTCTGCTGCTGATGGGGAGGATAAAACTTCAGGAAACACTGACACAGATGCTTGCCTTTCACTATGCAGGGAAACAGTACCTATCAAAAGTGCTGCAAGGAAGGAAAAGAGCCGAAGACAGGGTCATCGGGGGCCAAGGCTCAATGATGCACGTGGGGAGTGAAGGCTGGCCCATGTGGTCTGATCCAACAGATGAGCTACTGTAGCTCAAACCGTACTCCTTATAGCATTATTTACAGAGACCCAACAGTTCAGACCTCGGGTCTAGGTGGGTGGCCGTCTGCCTCGACCAGTTAGAGAGAGAGGGAGAGAGAGAGAGCGGTAACGACAATATATTATATCATTTCAAATGTGAGGATTTTCAGCGTTTTTTTTTTTTTTTGTCTAATTTAGTTCTAGATTGACTTTCTAGGTTTGGATTTTTTTTATTGTTGGTCTGACTGGAAAAGTAATTTGAGGTCTCTGGTAACTCTGGTAATTTGTCATTAGACTACGTTTGACATTCAGCAGACTGCTTGATTAATGTGTAATAAAAATTGATAGATAAAATGATGATAGAAATAATTGCTAATTTCTGCTTTTATTGTTAGATTATCCAGGAAACTCTTCCTGATTTCTGTGTTGTCGACTAAAAAACCTTATATTATAACAACATAACTTCTGGGTTCTGTTGGCTTTAACTGTGTGGGGGCAGTGGTGGCCTAAAGGATAGTGAGGTCTCCCTTGACCTGCAGGATCAATCTGCCCCTCCCGAATGATCTTATTGCCTTTAACATGAACTTAACCCCTCACTCCCGTGCTGTGTCGTCTACTGTTGCAGGTTCTGTGGGGAGTGTCTTCAGCCGTGTCTCCAGGTGACTTCACCCCTCTGCCCTCTCTGCCGCGTGCCCTTTGACCCCAAGAAAGTGGAGCGCTCCTCCAGTGTGGAGAAGCAGCTGGCGTCATTCAAAGCACCCTGCAGGGGCTGCAGCAAGAAGGTAGACAGCGACCATTCATTGTTCATGTTTGATGTAAATAATAACATTGCAAGAACAAATTATTGACAAACAAAATCTACAAAATAGAAATTGTGTACAACAACAGATTCTTATTCACATTTCGAAGTATTGTATTAGGACAGTTTGATGGCAAATTTCTAATAACTTCAATCGCAGTCCTCATCGCTCCCATGGCTCTACATCCATGATGATGCTTTTAGAGCTTCCACTGGTGCTCTTTTAATTTCATTGTTGCACCCTCTTCTTCTGGTTTTCTGACTGGAGGGGCACCTAGAGCTGTGCAGTATAGGTCAGTTCATATGTCAATGTAGCACATTTTCTGTAAAGTAAATGAATAAATAGTTTATATAAAATCACCACATGGAAAGACCTATTTCTTTTTACATTTATATATAAAAGTACTTCCTCATTACTAGTCAGATCATTTTTCTCCCTCTATTTAGAATGTTTGTGCAAATTTTAAGCATGTAACAAAATATTAAATGTTATTGCCAACTCCTGATAATTGCATAACAATAGTGGATAGAAACAAACATTTATTTGCATTTTCTTTTTACTTGAAATTCGGTTAAAATTTGTGATAAATTTGGATGGAATCACGGCTGATGATGATAACTGCATCAGTTAAAATGTACAAAAAGAAAGAAAAGAAATGGATTTACAGATATATAGCCAGATAGTTCAGATCATGATCGTAGTGTAAACTGTTGGAGATGTATGGACAGAACAGTGAGTCAGATAGATCCTCTATGGAGACGACAGCAAGTAACACTAATTAGGCTGACAAAACGAACTCACATTAGGACGTGGAGCTGTTAGTCTTAAAAAAAAGTGTGTGTGTGTGTGTGTGTGTGTGTGTGTGTGTGTGTTCTCAGGTGGCTCTGGTAAAGATGAGGTCCCACATTGCTTCCTGTTCTAAAGTACAGGAGCAGATAGCCAACTGTCCCAAGTTTGTCCCAGTGGTACCGACCTCCCAACCTATACCAAGGTACTCGCACTCACACCAGCATTTTCAGATTACTTTTTAAAAAACTCTCTAGCCTCACTGAAACAATGGACAGCCATAATTTCAAACTACATTTCCCATGTAAAGAAGAAGTTTAAAGAAACCCTCTATATGGGAAAAACTGGGCTGTGTCTCTGTAATGGACTCCTCAGGGGCTCTTGGTCGTGAAGGGTCGTGCTACTTCCCAGCATTGGACACTTGTAGTCACAAACAAACTTGGTGCTCTGGGATTGCAAAACGGACCAACATGGTGGCTCATTTGGAAACTCTCATATTGTGAAATAGTTCACTAAAATGAATTGAAGAGAGAAGTATGCCATCTAGTTGCTAAATCTGTTTTCATTTTAGATCAATAACAGTTAGTTTAAACATTTTATGTGAGTTTTCAGAGGCACCTGGTTTGCATAAAGTCGCCTAGACATCTGCTTTATCCAGTGGAGTGGCTAATATGACCATTTCAGAATGCAATAGTGAGTCATTGGAGGCCAGTACCTATACAATGCCAAGATCAGTTAGTAGGGTTGAATCAGCTGCTACAAGCTTGTGATAATTCCTGTCTTCTCTTTGCATATTTGTGTAGTAATATTCCGAACCGGTCAACGTTTGTGTGTCCGTTCTGTGGAGCCAGAAACCTGGACCAGCAGGAACTGGTGAAGCACTGTATGGACAACCACCGTAATGACCCCAATAAAGTGGTAAGAGACCACATCATTACCTAGACTAACTTTAACATTATCAAAGTTACTATTGGTACCATTGTCTCCACAACCTGTCTGATTTCCATGTGTTGGGTCCAGTCTGCAGAATATTAATACCATTGTAATCCATTGGTATTAACTTTAAAACAACAGTTATGACTTAGATCATCTAAAAAAAGTTGAAGAGGGTTTATGCCAGTAGTTGAGAGCCATTTTCTATCATTCAGTAAACCGAGTAATATTTTTTATGAATATTCAATTCAATTCAATTCAATTTTATTTGTATAGCGCCAATTCATAACGGAAGTTATCT